AACCCTATGGGTAACATTAGAGGAAGTAAGACACTGAGGGTTAGCTTGGGCACTTACAACCTTGCTACACTCCAAGTTTGTTCTCTGATTCATGCTTGCAGTTGAAGATAAGATTACTCATCTTTCAGCTCCACAAACCAGCTGCTGTACCGCCCTCAGCTCTACAGACTCTTTCTGAAACCTTAAGCCAAAATAAACTCTTTGGTCTCTATGTAACTTTTGGTCATAGTGTTTGACCAAAACAATAAATAGTAAGTCATGCATCAATGTCGCCTTTATGATCATTCTCAAAGAAGATATTTCTGTTCAAAAACTTCCTAAATAAAATTTGAAGAGAATGAATTATCTTAAGTAATTGGGCAGCTATTTGCAAATGGCTCTGTAGACATGTGTGAGTGAGATGAGATTCCATTAGCATTTCATGAGAGAACTGCTATATTATTTTAAAATTCTCAGGTTGCTTTCTTTACACATCATCCTTTCATTTGTAACCATTTGCTATTTCTGTTATTTTCATGAGTTATGATCATCAGTCTTTTGTGATTTTTATGTGATTATTAGAATTTGTATTGTACAGCTTGATGAGACTATGCAATCCTGCTTTCCTGATGAGAATATGGAATCATGGCCTCCTAAATTATGATAACATTTTGAAAATTAATCAGTAATATTATGATACAGTGGTAAGGTACATTATGATTTCTAACCCAAGGGATTAATTTAATAAATACTGAACAAAACGTATATGAAAATTTATAGCAGCATTAATAAAGTAAGTCACTTTAATGCTTTATATCAGTAATATAGAAATTAGTAAATCATAGAATTCTTTGTATTGGTTGATGCTAAAGCTTTAGAAACTCATTTCCTTAAAGGAGTTGATAATTTATTCTTTTTTATGACATGAATATTTTTATACCACTAAAATGTTGCACACATAAAATCATGGTATTAAGTGCCGGTCATGTTGAGTGCATGAGATAAAATTACTTCACTAATTTTATTAACATTTATCTCTGGACTTTCCTTGAAAGTACTGAGAAAATTCAAGCTCAAAAACTTTAGAAATGTTTGTTAAAGTATCTAGCCTCAATAGAAGAAATAGGATATGAATACATATTGCTAAAAATAATCTTGTATGAAGAATGTTAGAGGTGGAAAAGACAATTCATTAGTAATTTAATTTTTTATTCTTTATACTTATCTGATATTTATTGCATTTTGTCCCTTCTAATCAATAACTCAAATAAAATTTCTCATAGCATATGTTTAAATTTACACTTACAGATGTAGGAGAAAATTATTTACAGAGACCAGTCTCTCTTTATATAATCTGTAGTAATTATTCCTAAGTAAAATTGTGCTATTAATGGTAAATATTGAAAAATTACTCACCATCACAAAGATTGCCTGCTCATCATCATAAAGTATTTTTTGTTTTCCTTGACAAATTAATGCTAACCTGAGTCAGTTATTAGTCACAACTGTAATTATGCAACACCTACATGAACAGTTCTATTTCATATCATAATTTATTAAAACAGCAACATATAGTATAATTATCTGTTTTGAAAAACAGGAACTTCCATTTTATTGACACAAACTGTAGACTTTGAATTAAAATACATTCATCATTTGCTCAACCTATCTTATTTTTCAAATTAATTAGGTTTTATAGTAGTAATGCGCAGGGCAGAAAAAAAATCTCCTTAGAGAATAAAACCACCAACGTGCATTCATCTGTAGAAGATCATTTGTTGTCCATTTAGTTTTGTACCTGTGAGCTTATATTTTTGCATGCTTTTCTTTTCAGTAGAATTAAGAACTCACTAAAGAGGGAGGTAGTGGATGTAGAAAAGTGCGAGCCACCAGAAGCCTGTTACAAGGTGATTTAGAATCATAGCATCCTCAGTTATATTTCTGAATATATGTTTGATTTACCTGTCACAATAGAAATTTTCCAGAGTTAGTTCTCATTATAATCTATTACTGTACAAACAATATACACAGTAACAGACACCCTCAGTTGTGTTTTGTAAACTGCAGTTTAATATTGGTTTGGAAATTCTCTACATTCAAAATGAGTATCATTTGTAATTCTGTTTTTACTTGAAATGTTAAAAAATGATTTTAGTGAAAATTTCACATAATAAAATAATGAGAAAGTATATTTGTTTCCCTGACTATTATTTTTATTATCAAGTGAGATTTTTATTTTATTATTATAGCAGTCTGTGATCAATTCATGCTCACTCAGTGTGACACCTTCTTCAACTCTGAATGTGTTTTGAATATTTGTCTATTTAAATTTATAAGAATTATGATGGCAGCAAACACAATTGTTTATACTATAAATATACCAGTAGCTGCTTACTTTTAGAAGTAATCAAAAGTGTACAAAAACAAAGTAAAAAAGCTCCCTTTTGAATTGAGATGCATTGAAAATTTCAGACCTCCTACTGCTTCTAGACTTGTTTTACTCTAGAAAAGTTTTTGCAGTGGGAGTGGTGCAGTAAGCATGAAGTAAGAAAGGAAATCCCTGGGTTGATGCAAGGCATGCTCTTCCCTACTAGAAACCTTAAAAGAGATCTATACAGCTGAACATTTGAAATCAAGAGATTTAAACATACTACACATACTACACTAAGGCAAATTAAAAAATGGGAGTATTTTTGGTTGTGAGCCTAGCGTTTAATGACTGACCTAATTAGTTGCCCATTCCACAATGAGGGATGTCCTCTAAGCCTGGAATCTTGGGGGAAGGTCCAGGCCCTGCCCTGAATGAAATGACAGTCTCTGGAGATCCCACATGGAGGGCTTCACCCTCCCTGGGGAATGGAGTGGGGACTGGGTGGGAGCCTGAGGGACTGTACGGGTGGGAGAAGAGGGCAGGGAGAGGGAGCTGGGATTGACATGTTTCTAATTTAGCTTGTTTCTAATTTAAATTTAAAATATCTTTTAAAAAATGGGAGTATTAGAATGGTAGTAGACTCTGGCTAAATTATGCTGAGTGCAATAGGCAGGGGTTGCTAAACCAAAATCGAAGTGCTGGGGATACGTCTTTTTGAGTTCTTGATAAGGTAGTCCTGAGATGCTCACCAACCAACATAGGCCCTTGCCATTCATCTTGTCTGCACACTATGAGTAGCTGATAAAAGCCTATTGCTGAAAAAAACAACATTTTATAAATGTAGGGTATAGAGAAATCAAAGTGAGTATGGGCTGGATGCTTTGTGCCTGTAGGCTGTTTGGGAAGAAAAGACATCAACAGTTTTTACACAGCTGAGAGCCTTGCAAAGTACATCACCAACCTACCAGACAGTATGTGCCTACTAGCGCTATAGTGGCATTACTGCTACAGGAAAATTGTCTGATTGGTTTTAAGATGGACTCCAGTGTCTACATCGTTAAGAAAATATTGGCGGAGGAGATTTTGGGATGATGAAGTTTAATACTGTGGTTTAACTAAGTTAACACAGCACCAAGGTGCCTTCTAAATATTTATGGTTATACCCATAGACAAGTGCTAAACTTAATTTCAGTAAGTGATACTTCTCTTCATGTTGAAAGGTAATGAATGCAGAAATACATTGGTGCTCCAAAAACTGGACTAAGTGAAGGCCAACAAGACATTCCTGTAAGATCAGCAAATAGGTCGGTAGATAGTGCAGGGAGACTATGACAGCTAAAAGATAAGGAGGGAAGTTATGAAATGCTATCTTGAAGTCATGAAACAGTCAATAATTCATAATATCAAAGCAGCAGCTGCCCACAATGGGCCAGTGTAAGCCAGGTATGCCCAACAGTCAATCATGGATCAGGAAGGAGCCATGTGTCTCTGTTTCTTCTTGCTGACTGTTCGATTCTGTGGAAGCTCAGACATTGCCATCATTTGTGTACTGACTGATGAGCTCACCACAGTACAGTGAATTATAGCAGATCCAAAGTAATGCATGTTAAAATCAGAAGGCCGCAAAACAAAAAGACATGTGGATGGGAAAGGGAATTGCTTGTGGATTTATTGGGAAGGAGGCATAAAAGAAGGAATTGGGGGCTGGGCGGTGGTGGCGCATGCCTTTATTCCCAGCTCTCGGGAGGCAGAGGCAGGCGGATCTCTGTGAGTTCGAGGCCAGGCTGGACTGAAAGCCTCCAAAACAATACAGAGAAACCCTGTCTCGTAAAACCAAAAAAAAAAAAAAAAAAAAGAAGGAATTGGGGATAAAACACTATTTTTTGTGAATTTTTCATAAGAGTAAATTTAATGAAAGAAATATTGAGTCTAGCCAGACTCAGGTTAATAGCTTAAAATATGACGTGATAACTTTCCTATATTTTGGATTATGATGTAAGACTGAAACACAAAGAAACAACACAAGTACTGATATAGTAGATGCTTCAATAGCTGTGAATAATGAAACATCCCCTGTATTCATAAAAACAAAAAGAGTTCTATAATTTCCAAGAATAGTATCAGAGTTTTAGAGAGACATAGAAAAGACACCATGGCTTTATCAATTCTTAGGAATTTCACAGATATTCTAAGAGGTGAACCTGTTGGGGAAGTCCTGTGTATATGTCAATAAAGCACTGTTGGCCAATAGGGAAGCAAGATAGGTGGGACTAGGAGTCCAGGAGGACTCTGGGTAAGTAAAACACAGGAAGTCGAGATGTAACCACCATGGGGTAGGAAGCCCGGAAATTTCTCTGGTTAGAGAAATACTTAGATTAACAATTATGGGGTAAATACTTAAGAGCGAGCCAGTAAGAAACAAGCAAGGCCAACAGCTTCATAATTAATATAGCCTCCTGTGTGTGTGTTTGGGACTGATGCGGCTCTGGAACCAGGCTGGTGGGAAGGCTTTCCCTTTACATGAACCTGTATCATTCAGGGTAAATTATGAAACACAATAACAATAGCTAGAGTTCAATGGATAAATATCTTTCTTTTGTTTTCCTGATTTTGAATATTACAAGCATGAATCTGTTGGCACTTCACTTACCCTTGAGAAGTTGCCTCAATCCACTTGATTAGATTTACTCTTCCTGGTACATGATATGTAGGTAGACACAGTATTTTACAATATGCTCCAGTCTGTGAAGAGTTAACATATTTTGTATGAACATTTCTAAGAGGAGAATATTTACTAACCCCGATTGAGCCCCATTATTCTTTAAATTCCAATGATTTAAGTTATTAAAATTTAAATGATGTGTAAATAATTGTACTGATGATCAGACAAAACCAAGCTTGCTGAACAAACATCTATGCTGGAGTGTAGAAATAGAGGTGGATTAAAATAAAAAGACCACAGAACAAATTGACAATATTCATTCTAGTCAGTTGATTTGAAAAGGATTTGATGGATAATATATTTCAAGTCAAGGAGTTGTATGAGACAATCTAAATGAGAATCACACAATAGAGTGAATGGAGTCCCTTAATGACCACTTTCTGTAGCTTAGGCACACAATGTGAATTGTAGATTTAAGAAGATATGATGTGACTTTAGAAATATATATTGTAAGACAGGACAAAATTGCAAAATTATTTTATTCTATGATTATTAATATATTTTTGTGGATGATTATGTTTACTTTATCTGGACTTATTTTTTATACAGTTGAGCATATTTGCCTTCTTAATGAAACAACGGAATCTCTCACTCATACAACCATTTTTTGGGAAGATTGCAAATTTTTGAATTCCTACTGTTATAGGTAAATATAATGCACAGATATACATTCATTCACACTGTAGAGTAAGTAAATATTATGAATTATTTTTAAAAGTTTTACACCTGAGCTTTTATAAACAACGACTATCAATCCACTGAAATTGTCCTAAAATATTAATATTATTTACAAATTAGTATAATTCATTGACAATTATTAGTAAAGAATTCTGAAAGTTCAAAGCTGTGGATCTCTGTTTCTGATTCTATCAACTACTGGAGGAAGGCTCTAGGATGGCATATAAGGAAGCCATCAGTCTCATTATGGGGGGGAAGGCATCTAAGATAGCCCTTCCCCTATTGCTTAGATTCTTAGTTGGGGTCATTCTACTGTATCTCTGGACATTTTCCTAGTGCCAGATTCCCCATAGATGGATACTGTCTCAGCCTCGACACACGGGGGTGGGCCTAGGCCCTATTCCAAATGATGTGACAGACTTTGATGATCCCCCATAGAAGGCATGACCTTTTCTATGGAGCAGAAGAGGGATGGGCTGGAGGTCAGTGGAGGACATGGGAAAATGGGAGGGAGAGATAACTGGATCGATATATAAAATAAGATTGTTTCTAATTTAAATAAAAAGAAGAATTCTGACTCGGCGGTGGGGTACACAGCTTTAATCCCAGCACTGAACTCAGGAGGCATAGGCAGGCGGATCTCTGTGAGTTCAAGAACAGCATAGTCTACAAGAGCTAGTTTCAGCTAGTTTCAGGACAGCTTCCGAAGTCACAAAGAAACCTTGTCTTGAAAAACCAAAGAAAAATTCTGAAATTTTAAAAAACAATTGCTACTATTCATAAATTGCAAAATACACAATTAATCTGCTTATTCCATAAAATGATCAAATGTCTGGTATACCACAATATAGAAAGACAAAATTAGATTGAATTAGTTTTGCTTATCAAGAGAAATATATTGAGAAAATAAGAACAAAAGAAAAAACTGTATACCTGATTCTATGTGGTGAAGAATATGCCCTCCAGGCAGAAGATATGTGATCCCCTTAATGAGATCTTCAAAAGAGTGAAACCTTCACTTTTGGAGATGGCTAGTAAGTTGTGGCTTGGGGAGGGTGTCATAAAGTGTACAAACCTGCTTAGGGGATCATGAGGAACTAGCTATGCACCTGAGACCCCTCATTGAGAATTATTAACATAAATGACTAACAGTTATGGGAAGGGAGATTTTGTCACCCAAATAATAAGTCATGCTTCTGTAGGTAACACCTTACCTATGCTCCTACAAATACCTTTCATCGATACTTCTCTACATAACCTTCAACCATGTTCTTGTAGGTGACACTTTGTCATTTTTGCCTGTAGGTGTATCCCTCTATCATACCATTGTAATTAGCCCTAAATAAATTTGTTGACTCAACAATCAAGATTGAGATACAATCATCTTTTGTCTTCTGTCACTGTCACCTTATGGAGAGTGAACAATTTTTTTCAATATCTTCCCCAGCAATTATCTTGCAACATAAAGAAAGTATAAATTCACATAATTGCATGTATTCTAACATGGTGTTATCATCTTAATACATTGTTGCTCTTCATTTTTGTAGGACTATTTCTCGACTCCTATTTATTTTGTTCATGAAGGATTTTTTTCTTCCTTTTTTAAATTTAAGTTAGAAACAAGCTTGCTCCCCCTCCCTCCCCTCCTCCCCCAACTCCCCCACCAGGGCTCCTAGTCCCCAACCCAATTTGAACTCTGATCCCCAGGGAGGGTGAGGCCGTCCATAGAGGATCTCCAGAGTCTGTCATTTCATTCAGAGCAGGGCCTAGGTCCTGCCTCAAGAGTCCAGGCTGAGAGAACATCCCTCACTATGGGGATGGGCAGCCAAAGTCCATTTGTATGCTGGGGATGAAACTACCCAAGGCCCCATAGATTACCTAGGCCTCCTCAATGACACCCACATTCAGGGGGTCTGGATCAGTCCCATGCTGTCCACCCAGCCATCAATCTGAGATCCAAGAGCAGCCCCCGTGTTCAGGTCATCTGTTTCTGTGGGTTAAACAAGGCTGCCGTCTTTCCTGCTGATGGTGTCCTTTGCCTCACAGAAGCTTTTCAGTTTTAAGGTCCCATGTATTAATTCTCAATGTTAGTGTCTAGGCTATTAATGTTCTGTTGTAGAAGTTATACTCTGTGCGAATGAGTTCAAGGCTATTCACCATTGTCTCTTCTTCCATGTTCACTGTATCTGTTTTGTGTTGAGGTGCTTGATCCACTTGGACTTGAGTTCTATGCAGGGTGATAGACATGATCTATTTGTGTTCTTCACATGGGCACTATTTGACCATTTCTAGCAGATAATTTCTTTTTTCCATTTTATAATTTGGGCATCTTTATCAGAAAACGAGGTGTCTATGGGTGCATGTATTTATGTTTGGGTCTTTGATTTGATTTTCCTCATGAGCTTTGGTGAAAAGTACTCAACATAATGCCAGCAAACAGAATCCAAGAACATATCAAAAAGATCATCCATCATAATCAAGAGGGCTTAATCTCAGAGATGCAGAGATGGTTCAGCATATGAAAATCTGTATTGAATCCCATGATATAAACAAACTGAAAGGAACAAAATCACATGATCATCTTGGAAGATTCTGAAAAAAAAAAGCATTTGACAAAATCCAATACCCCTTCATGATGAAAGTCTTAGAGATATCAGGGATACAAGGGACATACCTACACATAATAAAAGCAATATACACCAAGCTGACAGTCAGCCCCAAATCAATCTAGAGAAAAACTAAAGCAATTCCACTAAAATCAGGAACAATTCAAGACTGGCCACTCTCTCCATACCTATACAAAATAGTACTTGGATTTCTAGCTAGAACAATAAGACAACAAAAAGAGATCAAGGGAATATAAATTAGAAAGAAAGAAGTCAAAGGATTACTGCTTGCAAATTATGCACATAGGAGACCTCAAAACTTCTACCAGGGAACTCCTGTATACAAATGACAAACAGGCAAAACACTTCCTAATAGCTACAAACAATATAAAATACCTTGGGGGTAACTCTAATAAATCAAGTGAAAAACCTATATGACAGTAACTTCAATATTTGAAACATACTTTCAAGAATGTATCAGAAGATGGAATAATATAGCATTCGTGTGCTTATTTGGGGGTGAGGAGGGCTGCAGAACCTGGCCAGATAAGAGAACTCTAGCAACACGTCTCTGTGTTAGGAATCAGGCATCTCTACTGGCCTGTCCTTGGGGTTCTGACAGGATATAGCCTCGGGTGAAGTCACTAAGAGCGTCACCTGTGCATATTCACTGTGTTCCCATTTAAAAGCACCCTACCCCTAATATTTCTCTCTTTTCCCCTCTTTCCTCTTTCCTGTTGTTCCTGTCTCTGGAGGCTGGTCTCCCCCTCCCCTTTCTTCATTTTATGATCCCTTTTCCTAATAAAGAAACCCTCTGTTTGAACCCTGTCTCATGGCCTGTTTCTCTCATGTGCTGCTTTTCTTAAATTACAACAGCCTGATTACAGAATTTAAACTTTCATGTGTTGATACTTCACAATCTGTCTACAAGAAATTAACACTATGAATATTCAGAAACCTTTATGTTTTGATTTAGTTTTATAATGGAATGTGAATATATTCTGTCATAAAATTTAGATTATATTAGAATATTAAATTATACATATAAGCATTGAAATATTTGTTATTGAATTTCATCATGAACATTTTTTGAAAGATTTGAATTTTTATATAAGGACCAAATAGTTTTTCCAAGGAAACATAGTTTTGTAAAGATTTTGTTTAGGGAAGTCTTAGATTTTCATAGTGCCAGTTGGATAAAAAAAGACAAAAAGCACACAGTGCTTATTAAAAAAACTAGGAATAAACAATTTACTGCTTAGATTCTAATGACAGTTCCATTTGTAAAACAGAAAACCATGAATAGGAAATCTGATTCTTTTCTATTATTATTAATTACATTTATTTATTTATTTTATATCCCTATACCAATTTCCTCTCCTTCCTCTCCTCCCCTATCTCCTATCTTCCCTACAATTACCACCACTGCAAATTCATTCCTTTGTTCAGAAAGAGCCAAGCATCCCATGGCTGTCAACAAAGCATGGCACATCAAGTTGAGATAGGACTAGGTGCCTTCCCTCATATTAAGGCTTGATGAGGCAACTTAGTATGAGGAATAGGTTCCCGAAAGCCTGCCAAAGTGTCAGGGACAGGCCTTGCTTCCACTGCTATGTGTCCCACTCTAGAGCAAGCTAAACAACTGTTGTACACATGTAAAAGGCATAGGTCAGTCCCAAGCAGGATCCTTAGAAGGCAGTCCAGTGTCTGTTAGCAACTATGA